GAATGAACAGGAGTCCCTCTCCACTCAAGACGAGGTAGACCCGGTAAGGCTAAGGTCACAGTCTTGGCATGACAATCCAAGATAACGTGGTAAGGTGATAACCAGTCCATCCCCAATATGACATCAAAATCAACCATGTCCAACAGTAACAAATCTACTCGGGTCTCAAGACCCCCATCACAACTACGCAAGAACGATGAACACGATCTACCACAATAGAATCACCCACCGGTGTAGACACATAAACAGGAGCACTCAAAGAATCACTAGGCATGACCAGATACGGCGCAAAATAAGGTGACACATAAGAGTATGTAGACCCTGAATCAAATAGCATTGAAGCATCCCTACTACAAATCAGAACCGTACCTGTGATAACTACATCGGAAGCCTCATCCTCAGGCCTGGCTGGAAGAGCATAACATCGGGGCTAGGCCCCACCACCCTGGACTATATCTCTGGGACGGCCTGCTGCTGGCTGGCCTCCACCTCTAGCGGCCTGAGCTCCACCTCTAATACCTCTACTTCTACCTCTAGCACCTCTAGCTGGCTGGGCGGGCGGTGGAACACTCGGTGCCTGAACCATGTCACTGGAACCCTGATGCTGAGAATTGCTCGGAGCTCGAGGGCAAAATCTAGCAATATGCCCCATATCGCCACAAGTATAACAAGTCCTCGGTTGCTGAGACTGCTGACCCTGCCGACCTGAATGACCACCCCGAAAACTCTAGAGCGGCAGTGCACTGATAGGAGCTGGTGGTGCACTGTAGGACTGCTGATCAGAATACTGCATATGAGAACCACGGCCACCTGAAGCACCATGAGAAACCTGAAGTGCTGACTGAAAAGGCCTAGGAGGATGGCCACTACCATACAAATCCCTGCCTCCAGACAAGGCACCACTGAATCTGACTGAATGATGAGGCCTCTTGTCAGACCCCTGACCACCTCTCTGCGATAGAACCATCTCAATTCTCCTGGCCACATTGGCCGCCTCCTAAAAAGAAATATCACTCCCCGTCTCCTTAGCCATCTGAAGTCGAATAGGCTGAATGAGCCCCTCAATGAACCTCCTCTCTCTCTCTCTCTCTCTCTCTCTCTCTTTCTCTCTCTCTTAGTGGGAAGTATAAGTAGAGCATGACGGGCCAAATCAATAAACCTGGTCTCGTACTGAGTAACGGTCATAGAACCCTGCTGGAGACGCTCAAACTGCCTCCGATAGATCTCTCGCTGAGTGACAGGAAGAAACTTCTCCAAGAATAGCATTGAAAACTGATCCCAAGTCAGAGCTGGTGACCCAGCTGCCCAGCCAAGCAAAAATCTCTCCACCAAGTTTAAGAAATTAAGAAACTTTCGGACAAATAAGTCAATGCGGGAGTAATCCGTAAGAGAAAGTATAATTTTCGCGGCTAATCAAGTAGCGCATCAAGTTTCTGGAATAACAAGGCTCGATACTGTATGCAAATCTATTCTCAAGCTAAAACATAAATTAAAGCATTTAAACAAGTAAGAATAACCCAAGTAGAACAGTTAAAGAATGGTATAAGTCTAAGTTTACCCGGACATAATCAAGAATCTAGCATACGCACGGACGCTCGTCAGCTCATACGTGTGTAGCTCCCATAACACATAATGCGCAGCAAGTATAGCACCTACGAGGCAAAATTCCCTCTTACAAGGTTAGACATGAGACATACATCGATCCGAAATCCGATAACCGGCTCCAATACCTCTCTAACACCTTTACCAATGCCGAACAATCCAAACCTAGTCAAAGAATATGCAAACCAATCAAAACATATTCAAGAACCCATAATCTGTCAATTAAAAATAATTCCTAACCCCACACGAAAAGTCAATAAAAGTCAACACCAGGCCCACGTGCCCGAATTCTGAAAATTCTCAAAAATAAATATTACCTATAACATAAATAGTATATATCCAGAAAATCATCCAATTTCATTCATGAATTGACCCTCAAATCAACAATTTATCATTTTTCAACTTTGGGGCTCAAAATCTCAATTCCTACAATGCAAACACGGATAAAAATGATAACCAATGGTAATAATCATGGGAAAATATCAAAATAAAGGATAGATATTTACCCTCTTTTGAAAACAAGAAGAATGCCGCAAAAATTGCCTCAAACCGAGCTCTAGAACTCAAAATATGCTCAAAATACTAAAATGTTCGGTCTGCCAATTTAAAATAGTGCCCAAGTAATTTTTGTTCATCGCGTTCGCGAAGAGCGATTTTTCGCGTTGGCCAGTCAACCCAAATTTCCTTATATGCATTCCCGTGATTGTTCTCGCGTTCGCAAAGAACAAAAGTACGCACCAGAAACCAGCATTCTTTTTTGACACAGAAATGGGCATAACTCTCTTATACGACCTCGGAATTTGACGATTTTTATTGCTATAATTCCGAAATTACGATATGGATCTAATGGTTCAATAAAAAATTAATTTAGATCTCATTTCCTTAATATGGTACACTTCATCCCAAAGAAATAACGTTGAAACATCAATTAAGAGCGCGACACAACACATACCCATCCGAAACTTATCGGAATCTAAGTAAAACTTGTGGACAAGTCCAATATCATCATAAAAGTATGTTGAAATTTTTAAATCATGAATCCAAGTTCGTTAAGTCCGCTATTTGACTTTGGGCAACTCAAATTCTTAAACTTAAATAATATGCAACTTAAATGTCCGAATCACTCTTAAACACCTCGGAATGGAACCAAATTTCACACACAAGTCCAATATGACAACATTTACTTGCCCCAAGGCTTGAAATACCAAACGGGATCGGATATCTCCAAAGTCCACTCTAAATCAAACTTAGCCAAACAACACCTTCAAAATGCCAACTTTCATAAATTACCCTCAAAATCACCTAGGAACCTCAGAAATCAAATTCAGACATACCCCCAAGTCCGAAATTACCATACAAACATATAGGAACCTTCAAATCTTGCTTCCGAAGTCTTTTGCTCCAAAGTCAAATCTTGATCAACTCTTCCAACTTAAAGCTTCCGAATTGAGATTTACTCTCCCAAATCAACTCCAAAATACTAAAGTCGAAACCAACCACATACATGCACTACAACAAATATGAGCTATGATGACATTTTATAAATATCGTATTAAGTCACATAAATATCACAAAATCACTTACCAACATTTATTTTACACTTAGTTCAAATGTCGCAAATTTCAATGTCGGTAATTTACCGACATTTATTCTAATATCGGTAAAAAATTTACGACATTTATTTATGACCTTTACGAAAATGTCACATTATAATTTGTGACATTTCACCTCGAGAGCATTGGTTGAAAACGCAAAACAGTGGGTTTTTTTCACTTCGTCCACATCTTGTATTGCTAGTGGTGCTGATGGAAACCTGAGGCAAGCACATTTTCCATTTTATGGCAAATTGAAAGACATCATTGAGCTTAACTACTATCGATTTAGGGTTACACTATTCAAGTGTAAATGGGCTGACAACTAGGGNCACATAGAGAATGTGAATTGAAATAAACTATTTGTAAACAGAAGATCTCTATAACTAATTCCAAGAATGAAATTGTGCATAACTGTACGTTTTTATAATAAAATAATGATTGGATCAAACTATTAGGCTGGATTCTTGAAAATGCAACTAGTTCACCAACAGGAGATTTCTTCACGTCCACAACTCTTGCTGCTACTTCGTTTTAGCAGCTTCCTCTCCAATTCACTTGTGCATCCGCCCATTTGATATTTTCCTTAATTGAGACAAGAAGGTTGTCAGAGGTAGTCAACCTAGTATATTTTTATAAAGTAGGTTATAACTTAGCAAGTAGTTGAAAGTTAAAAGAAGATATCATAATCTACATGCAAGAATGATTTAAAAAATGAAGTGATATAGAGCAGCTACTTTTACCAGTAGCATCTTCTTTATGCAGTAGAGCAATCAACTGAATTATTCCAGAAGTTATCTTCCATTAACGAATAAAAAATTCTTATTAGAAAACACAACTTTAAGAAAGAAAGAATTGGTTTGTCGTCAAATCTACAAGGACCTTACCATAAGATACCACACACTAGACTTTCTCACTCCGACTCCATATCACACTAATACAAGCCAATCACATGTGTGCAACCTTATTTTTCAGCTTATCAACAACATAGCCATCAGTACATTTCAAGCTAATAAATTGTATACATGTTCATCTGATTGCATAATTACCATAAGGAGAAAACATTACTATACCAAAGTGATAAAGCCCTATAATTAGACAATTTGGACAATGACTTAATACAAAGAAAGATGGAAATCTAATAAATTAACTTAATATTTTATCAAAAACGAAACCAAAGTTTACTTAATCCAAAAATATTGTTTAGCAGTGAATATATTTAGTCGAAAAATAAATACAGAAAGAGAAAAAGGAACAAGAAAACGAGATACAAACTTAAGAAAACACATACATATACAACACACAAAGAACATAGAAGAAGTATGACTTCTTGATCCCAATATATTGAAGGAAACATATTCTTCTCATTGAACAAGTTACTAAGCTTAAAATTTCTCAAAGATAAAATGCAGCGATACTCACAATAGGTGCGGAAGGAAACAACAGACAGTAAACATTGTTAGCTTTCCTTCTGAATGGAGCGGCATATGAGTTGTACAACCTTGAGATTAGAAGAAACCTTTTTTGCTGACCTGCACATCATTGAATCAGATAAGGATACAGAAAACCTCATCAATTTAGTTCATATTCTGAAAGAATAAACAATACGAAGAGTCAAAGTATTAAAAATGCTCTCTCGGGCATTTTGTCGAACACCCGTAGGGCATAAACTGTGAATGTGATATCCATAGCAGCATATTGTACAAATAACACCCCACAACTTCCATCTTACAAGCCCATGCCAAATCACCACACTATTACACTCGCACAATAAATGACAACATAGATTACACTTCGAAATTGTAAACTTACAATTCTTCTAAACATGATTAAATTCCTCCATGAAATCAAAACACACTGCAGAAAGAAGGAACAATTCAAATCCAACCAAGAAAGAAAGAAAAATGGTGATTTTCAATGTTGCAATGTCAGTACAAAAAGAGATGGAAAGAGAGAATTAAGCAAGAAGACAGTACACTAGGATACATTCATACTGCTATTCCTGAAGGTGCTTGAGGTTTACAATTGGGGTGAAGGGAATTGAACGGGATAGAGAAATTGGGGAGGGGGAAATGAATTTGAATGTTCTGACTTCTAAGAAATATCGCAGGGAGTAGTGTTTTTTTGGGGAGATTTTCAGAGGAAAATTTTGGGGGGAAGTTTTGCAAAAAATAGTTTTCTCTCCTTTTGAAATTAGTAGTAAGTAGTAATTTTCTTTTTTACCAAGAAAAAAGGTAGTAATTTATTTACATTTATTATAAATGTCACCAACTAAATATCATTTTATTACTACTTGTGTGACGTTTTAATCAAATGTCACAATATATTTGTCATTTTTAATTAAATGTCAGTATTTTTGTACCATTTTTCAACAAATGTCAATAAATTATCTTTTTTCCGACATTTATTATAAAGGTCATTAATTAAATGTCGTCGTAGTTCATATTTGTTGTAGTGATGAGTCATAATGCATAATGTGAAGCTACTCAAGGTCTAGCCGAACGACATGCTAAAGCTGAAAACAACCGAACGAATTGTTACATTACATTCTAATCTAAATAAAAATAAATATGTCGAAATACCTGAACATGCATATAAATAACAAGTACACTAAGATTCGGGTATTAAAGTTGCACATGCGTAAGGCACACAAATTCTTTTCATTTTATCCTTTTTTTTTAAAACATGCTATGAGAAATGCGATTCACCTAAGTTCTACATCTAATAAACATATTTATATCTGTAACTTAATAGAATATATAAATTAATTTAACATACATGAAAAAATTCATGTATCCTATGTCGAATATATTTATAGCCATATAAATTATAATTACTAATCAGTGGTACAATATGGTCAAGCGCGAGCTACTTCACTAGTTTAATAATTAATTTGAGAAAGTCAATGCGTAGGAGCATTACGTATACCCCATCAAATCCTCATACCCTACTATTAGGGAATATTTGGCAAACCAAAAATCGCTTTGTCTTTGAACAACAAGCCCTGACACTCAGTTTTGATGACATCTACCAGCATGCTACCGATACTTTTATCTAGCCACCTAGCCCCGCGAGAAACATACTTTGTTCCCGTAATATGTGAAATGAAAACCCCCGAGCCAAGCCAAGGTTGTTTTAAGTTAAACACTGATGGGGCTTTAAACATTTCTGCAAACACGACTGGTATAGGTGGGGTAGTCGGTGACCACACTGGAAATCGGGTCTTGGATTTTGCGGGGAGTATATTCGACAATAATATCATTACCATCGAACCTTATACTCTTTTACAAAGGTTGTTATTTGCCTTGAAGCACCACCTACTACCAATTGAAATCACGTTGGATGCAAAAGAGGTAATTACTATTATATTAGTTAGTGTTTTGATGGGAGTATTTGAAAAGAGGTGATTTTTGTTTTAAAAGGTGCCTATTGGCAAAGGTTGAGTCTGTTAGTTCTAACAGACACCTAAAGGGTTTGAAAGGAGGTGACTTTTGGTATTAAAAGGTGCCTATTGGCAAAGGTTGAGTCTGTTAGTCCTAGCAGACACCTAAAGGGTTTATAAATACCCTTTTCTTCTCCAAAACAAAAATCATCAGAAAAGCAACAAAGTATCTTCTTCTTTTCTGCTATCTTCAATTCACCAAATTTGTTCAAGTGAAAATTCAAGTTAATTGCTGGTGCTCGAATTTCAAAGGCTTTGTAAAATCCTGGAGGAATTCTGCCATAAACCCTGCAGCAACGAAATTGGGAGGCTTAAATTCCTTAAGGACAGTGACTACACTATCAAAGCCTAATTATTTCGTCCCTATATTCTATTATATTTTCTAACAATCTTAAAGAATTTAACAACACTGCAATGGAGGCTTCTGGTAGTGATTCTGGTTTCAACAAGATATTCGAAGTGTTCAAACTGGATCGATTTGATGGCTCAAATTTTACCCGCTGGAAAGACAAATTGCTGTTCTTTCTCACGGAGTTGGGAATAACATATCTGCTGAGTTATAATCTTACTGTAATGCCAGAACCTACTGCTGAAGACTCTGACGAAATTAAGGCGGCACGCAAAAAACGTGAAGATGATGAGGTGCGCTGTAGAGGTTTTATTTTAAACTCACTTTCTGATCGTTTATATGATTTGTTCCGTCCTCACAAATCACCACAAGAAATCTGGAAAGCCTTGGAACAGAAATATACTGCTGTGAAGCAAGGAACGGACAGATTCCTTGGAATGAAATTTTTTGAATTTCAAATGATAGATGGGAAATCTGTCATGGAACAGGTTGATGAGTTGCTGGTTTTGATATCTAGACTCAAAGATTTTAAAGTCGATGTTTCTGAATCTCTTCAAGTGGCTGCTATACTTGCAAAATTACCAGCCACTTGGAATGACTATAGGAAGAAATTATTACATTCTTCCGAAGACTTTAATGTGGACCAGTTGACAAAGCATATTCGGATTGAAGAAGAGTCACGAAAACGTGAAAATAAATATGCTGCGGAAACTAGTTCAAAGGTGAATTATGTTGAGTCTAGTAAGGCAAACAACTCAGGAAAATCTGGAAACAAGGCTGGAAAGAAGAGAAAGTTTGAGGCTGCTCCAAAGGAAAATTCTTCTAACATTAAGAAAGGTCCATGTTATACTTGCGGAAAAATGGGTCATTTTAAGAGAGATTGCAGGTTTCGTAAGAGACAGAAAAATGAAGAAAATGCTGGACAGAAGAGGGTAAATAATGTTGAACAACAACAAGCTTCTTCTTCGGATATTGTTGCTATGATTTCTGCTTTTACCAACTTGAATCTGAGTATGGTAACTGAATGCAACATGGCAGCAACTATGAAATCTGCAGATTGGTGGTATGATTCCGGTGCTACAGTTCATGTATGCAATGACAAGAGTTTCTTCAAACATTATGAAGTTGCAACAAGTGATGAAAAGGTTTTAATGGGAAATCATGACACCGCCAAGGTCTTTGGAAAAGGAACAGTTGAACTACAATTCACTTCGGGAAAGAAGTTGATTTTAATTAATGTTCATCATGTACCTGATGTTAGGAAGAATTTAATTTCTGCAAGTTTATTAAGTAAGAAAGGCCTCAAAACTGTTATAGAGGCAGAAAAGATTATTTTCTCTAAGAATGGTGTATTTGTAGGACAAGGCTACTCTTGTGAGGGCATGTTCAAATTAAGTATTAATAAAGTTGAAGTTTCTGCTTATATGATTGAGTCATCTATTAATTTATGGCATGCTAGACTTTCACATGTTAATTTTCGATACGTTAAGTTTATGTCTAAAAATAAATTAATTCCTGCTGTTGAGAATAATGATAAAAAATGTGAAATTTGCATACAAGCTAAGATGACTAAGAAATCTTTTCCAAAGAATGAAAGAACAAGTAATCTACTTGAACTTGTGCATTCCGATATATGTGAATTGAATGGTCATTTAACTAGAGGTGGAAATAGATACTTTATTACTTTTATAGATGATCATTCTAGATATACACATGTTTACTTAATGAAAACAAAAGATCAAGCATTTGATATGTTTAAGAGTTACAAAGCATTAGTTGAAAATCAATTGGAAAAGAAGATTAAAATCCTACGTAGTGATCGAGGAGGCGAATATCTTTCCAATGAATTTTCTGTATTTTGTGAAGAAAATGGTTTGATTCACCAAGTTAGTGCACCGTATACCCCACAACAAAATGGTCTTGCTGAAAGAAAAAATAGAACGTTGGTAGATATGGTTAATGCCATGCTTTTACATGCAAAGTTACCAACGAATTTGTGGGGGGAAGCTTTGTTAACGGCTTGTTTTGTGCATAATAGAGTTCCTTCAAAGAAATTTAAGGTTTCACCATATGAATTATGGAAAGGAAGAAAGCCTAACCTAAATTTCTTAAGGGTATGGGGCTGTTTAGCCTATTATAGAATTCCAGATCCTAAAAGGACTAAGTTAGGACCTAGAGGAATTAAAAGCATATTTGTAGGATATGCTGAGAACTCAAAGGCATACAGATTATTGGACATTGAGTCTAAGTATATTGTGGAATCTAAAGATGTTGAGTTCTTGGAAACAAAGTTCATTGGTGACTCTAATAATTCACATGAGGACACAGAAATTACTAAACAAGATGGTAATGCAACAAGCATTGGTGATAATGCAGTAACTCAAGAAAATTGTGCAGAACCTAGTTCTTCTTCTAACAATAAAAGAAAGGCAATTGAATCTCCTGTAGAACCAAGAAAAAGTCAAAGAGTTAGAAAAGAAAAAAATATAGGTTCTGATTTTATTTCTTCTCAAGCACTAGTCTTTTTGGTAGAAGGAAGTAGAGATGAAGTATTAAATAAAATACCCATTATTTTAAATTTAGAAGAGGATCCTAAAACCTATAGTGAGGCTATGGCTTCGCGGGATTCTTCTTTCTGGAAAGAAGCTGTAAATGATGAAATGGATTCTCTTTTATCAAATGGTACATGGGTATTGGCAGATTTACCTTCTAATACTAAACCTATTGGGTGTAAATGGGTTTTTAGAAGAAAATACAATACTGATGGTTCTCTACAAACATTTAAAGCTAGACTAGTAGCCAAGGGATTTAGACAAAAGGCAGGAGTAGATTATTTTGACACATATGCTCCTGTGGCCAGGATTACCTCAATAAGAGTATTATTTGCTTTGGCATCAATATATAATCTAAATGTCCATCAAATGGATGTTAAGACGGCATTCTTAAATGGTGATCTTGATGAAGAAGTTTATATGGAGCAACCCGAAGGGTTTGTGCTTCCTGGAAATGAGAAGAAAGTTTGTAAATTAGTTAAGTCCTTGTATGGATTAAAACAAGCTCCAAAACAATGGCATGAAAAATTTGATAGTGTTATATTATCAAATGGTTTTAAACATAACGGAGCAGATAAATGCATTTATTCCAAATTCACAAAGGACTATGGAGTGATAGTATGTCTTTATGTTGATGACATGCTAATCATAGGAACTAACATGCAAGGCATAAATGAAACTAAGAAGTATTTAACTTCTCAATTTAAAATGAAAGATTTGGGAGAAGTTGATACTATCTTAGGTGTTAAAGTTAAAAGACATAGTGGGGGTTTTGCCTTATGTCAGTCTCATTATATTGACAAGGTTCTTTCCAAATTTAATCATTTGGGT